TAGGATGAGGTAGAAGCCCCCCGTGAACAAGGGCTCTTTGTTGGGGCCAAGGGGTGGTGTTGCAAAGAAGGTGGCATACAAGCCGCGGGAACCTGGTTATCGGTTCTTTGGAAAGTGCTACAACTGTGGTAGCGAGGGGTTTTAGTTTTACCAGGGCTACACGCCACATTTGCTTTGAGAAGGAGCTGTTTACAACTTTCGAACCGGTTACAAATACTAAGAAGTTGTTTTTGGAAAACTCTACTACCTCGATTGTTGAGGGGAAAGAAAATGTGGTCTTGAAGTTGACGTCAGGAAAGGAGCTAACCTTGAACGAAGTCCTGTATATTCCGAACATTCGTTAGAATCTTGCCTCAAGGTCTCTTCTCAGTAAACATGTTTTTTGCATGATTTTTTGAGTCCGACAAGGTCGTTATGACGAAACACAAGTGTGAAACTTGTGTTGAAGCGAAGTGGACCAGATCCCGTATGAGTTATGAAAAGGCATTAAGCCTTCTTATAAATTCTTACGAATGTGGGGGTGTCTTGCAATTGTGGCGTTTCCTACGGGTTAGGATAGGCCCAAAATCCATGGATTGTATATTCATTGGTTATGCACATAATAGTAGTGCATATCGGTTTCTTGTACATAAGTCTGAAACTTCAGACATTCACAAGAATACCATCATGGAGTCAAGGAATGCATGTTTCTTTGAAGACATTTTTCCTTGCCGAACCCATGAAGGGGTTCTAAGGTTTTGGAGCAATTTGGTGAGCTTACTAATAATGATGATCATTTTGATGATCAAGTTGAGAATCAAGGTGATGATGAGCCTAAAAGGAGTAAAAGGGCTAGGTTATCCAAATCTTTTAATCCAGACTTCTTGACTTATATGGTTGAGAACAAACCTCAAACTTTTCATGAAGCTGTGACTTCTCCTGAGAGTCCTTTATAGAAAGAAGCAATCAAAAGTGAAATTGACTCCATCTTATAGAACCACAATTGGGAGTTGGTAGATTTACCTCCAGGTTATAAGCCTTTAGGCTGCAAATGGATTTTTAAAAGAAAGATGAAGGCCGATGGTGTAACAGCCCTCGTCACTGTTTACCGATAAACTACTGATTACTGCTAAACTGAGACTGATTATGATAAGTAATTGAACTGATCGAAGTATTGAACTGACTGACTGAAATCTGGAACTGAATTGATTAAGTATATCTGTTTAATTGTATGTCTATCTGTTGATTGTTTGATTATCTATTCATGCCTTTGTGTTTAAATTGCGAATTGAAGGCCTTATCGGCGGTCGAATCTGAAATTGATTGATGATTTGTGATCCTTAGAATTTATATGATTTTATGGCGTATTTATCTAAAATGTGATTTGGTATGATTAAATTAGATTAAAATAAGCTTAATGTCAAGAGTTGGCATAATTACCATTTTGCCACATGAGTGGCCCACTACCTAGACTATATTTGAGCCTTACAACACTTTAACAAAACATTTCATCAGTCCATTTCTTGTTCTTGCCTACTTGAGAGAGTGAGAGGTAGAGAAAGCTTGAGTTCTTCACAATTTGGCTTAGAGTCTTGTAGAGATTGAAGGATTCTTGCATATTGAGCCTCTAGACTTGTAATTGAGGAACCTAGGTATGAATTTCATCATCCTTATTGTGTATTTAAGTTCCTTCTAGCATGGATCATGGTAGTTTAAAGAGTTAAGTCAAGAATTGGTTCAATAATGTTAAATTGGAGCTCATTCCATGCATGCATGTTTGATTGTTGAGTTGTGAGTTGATTTCATGGTAAAATGTTACATGCATGTTCATATTGTGTTTAAGTCCATGATTTCATCTTGTCCTTGGAAGAATTGGCTCATTAGAGCATGAAATTGAAGCTTTGAATTTGTTAGATTCATGCATGTTTGCATGTTTTTCATATTCTTGAAAATTTGTTTGAAATTGAGTTGTTTAAAACACCCATGGGCTTGATTTTACAATTGAGCTTTGGAATCATGTTAAACTATGAGTTTTGGGATGTTTTCTGGAAAATTGGCCCAAGAGAATCGAAATTTATGTTTTAAAAGTTGAATTTGAGCTTGAGGTTCAAATCTGGGAATTCCAGATTTTGAACTCACGCTCGAGCGGGGTGACTGGCGCTCGAGCGTGAAATTCGTGCACCTAGTACTTTGCACTGTTTTGAAGTCCGCTCGAGCGGAATAATTGATGCTCGAGCGGGACATTGTGTCTCATACTCGAGCGGGTGTCGAGCGCCCAATCGAGCGTGATTTTCACCTATCCAGCACTTTTGACTGTTTTGCATAACGCTCGAGCGGGTAAGGCTACGCTTGAGCGGAAACCTTTGTCTGCATGTTCGCTCGAGCGGAGTAACCTACGCTCGAGCGTGACCCCTATTTCTGAAAATTCTGAAAATGCTTTTAAAGGGCATCTTTGCATCCTCATCTCATCCTAGGCATTCTTAGGCCCAGTTTAAGACATCTTAATGAGGATATAGAACACACCGAGGCAAATTAGGAATTAAGTTATTATCTTTCCCAACTGTGTAGCTTAGTGTGTGTTCAATCTATAACTGTGTAGGGTTGGCGACTGGGGACGCGCTTTAGCTTTACTGTAGCCCAGAACTCTGTGAGTAACAACTGTGTAAAGATATGTTCAAAATGATTACTTCTGAACAATTGAACTGTACTGCTTTCTGAATTGATACTGTTAATTGAATGAATGTATGTCCTATATTCTAAACTGTATTGTGGCATCCTTAGCAACTACTGTTTACTGTTACTGTTACAGAGATCTCTGTCGGTTCCCTTGTTAGAACCATTACTGTTTACTGATTGATGGCCATCATTTACTGTTCGGTCTTTTAAGACCTATTGTTTACTATACTGTTATGCTAATGGATGTACCACATATAACTGAATAACTGATATACTGAATTAACAAACTGTTTTTATTACTGTAAGGACATTCATTCTTAACCTCTTTACGCATTACGTTATTCACTAGGCTTTAGCTCACTGCTCATACATATATGTAGGTGTACAGGCACCAGACCGGGGCTAGAAGTGTCACGACCCAAACCCGGCCCTATGGGTTTAGCACCGTAACCGGCCAGTAATCCGAGATTACCAAAGGCTTGCTTAACAGTAGCACAATAAAACAGAGTACAGGGCCTGGCGAAAGCCAAAATAGTAAAGAAACAATGTCCAATGAGCTGTGACAGTCTGTATGCAAAAAGACTTTTCATACATATATACATGAACGGTACAGAACAGTATGCACAGTATATACAATCCATTAGGTTAGTACAAAATAGTAAGACAGTACAGAAGGGGGGGAGTCCTAAAACACCCCTAAGCCTTAGCATGATAGGCTTGGAACCTCGCAGTGAGGCACGGTAGTTGGCTGGACAAAACTGGAGTAACCCTGACGCTCCTAGCCGTGGTTTGGTGCCTGTACAGCTACATATATATATGAGCAGTGAGCTAAAGCCCAATGAATAACATAATGCGTAAAGAGGTTAAGAATGAATGTCCTTACAGTAATGAAAACAGTTCATTAAATCAGTATTTCAGTCGTTCAGTCAGTACAGTCATATGTGGTACACCCATTAGCATAACAGTACAGTAAACAGTAGGTCTTAAAAGACCGAACAATAATGATGGCCATCAGTCAGTAACAATAGTGGTTCCAACAAGGGAATCGACAGAGATTTCTGTCACAGTAACAGTAAACAGTAAGTGCTAAGGATGCCACAATACAGTTCAGAATATAAGACATACATTCATTCAATTAACAGCAATCAGTTCAGAAAACAGTACAGTTCAGTTGTTCAGAAGATAATCATTTGTGAACATATCTTTACACAATCGTTACTCACAGAGTTTGGGCTACAGTATGCTAGAGCGTGTCTCCCCAGTCGCCAACCCTACACAGTTAACAGATTGAACACACTAAGCTACACAGCTGGGAAAGATAATAACTTAATCCCTAATTTGCCTCGGTGTGTTCTACATCTATATCCTCAATAAGATGTCTTAAACTAGGCCTAAGAATGCCTAGGATGAGATGAGGATGCAAAGATATGATCAGAAAACAGTTTCAGGAGTTTTCAGAAAAACAGAGTCCCGCTCGAGCTCAGGTTTCCCCGCTCGAGCGGTCATGCAACAAAGGTACACGCTCAAGCGTCAGATATCCCGCTCGAGCGTACTGTAAAAGTACTGGATGGGTGAAATCTCCGCTCGACGGACGCTCGACGCCCGCTCGAGCTTGAGACACATGACTCCGCTCGAGCGCCTAATCCTCCGCTCGAGCGGACTATAAAACAGTGCCGAGATACTGGATGCTCGGATTCCACGCTCGAGCGTCACTTAACCCGCTCGAGCGGGAGTGCAGAATCTGGAAATTCCAGATTGCACCCCTAAGCTCAAACTCAAGCTCAAAAGCATAATTTTCAATCCTCTTGGGCTAATTTCTGGAAAAACACTTGTAAACACATGGAATAACATGATTCAAAACTCAATTTGAGAAATCAAAGCCCAAGGGTGTTTAATTCAAACCCAATTTCAAACCATTTTTCAAGGACAATCCACAAACATGACATGCATGATCTTTAAATAACTTTCAAGCTTCAAAACATGCTCTAATGAGCCAATTGATTCACAAACAAGATGAAAACATGGCCTACACTCAAAACATGGACATGCATGTGACAATTTGCCATGAACTCAACTCAAAATCCAACAATCCAAACATGCATGCAAGGATTGAGCTTCAATTCAACAACAATGAAACAAAACATGACTTAGTTCTACAATGAAGCATGAATCATGCAAGAACTAGCTCAATGGCAACAATAAGAAGATGAGTTTCCTACCTTAGTCTTGTATTCAAGATTTAGGAGCTCAAACTAACGATCAACCTTCAATTTCTTCAATTAGCAAGCAAAACTCAAGATGGAATCCAATTCTCTCACTCTCTCACTCTCTTGGTCGGCTAAGGCTCAAGAAGAAAAGCTGAAGGAGTTATTTATACTCTTCCAATTCCATCTTGGCTCCTTGGCTCCTGCAGCTTTTTCATTCCAGGTTTGCTTATCTTCTTCAATCAATTCCTACAAGTACAAAACCAAAATTTTCAGTACTTCTTTTTACATTTTCAAAAAAAGAATTACCCAAACAGATAGTTAAATTTCACACCTTCCATTTCACTGAAATGAGGGCATTAAGGGTAGAGTCATTAATTCCCGGCCTCTCTTCCAACAAGTTCTTCCTTGCCTCTTTGCTGTATTATCAACAAAAATAACATAGTATAAGAAACATAGTATAAGAAAATATAAAGCAAATTTCATTACATTTTGTTGTACTGTTAATGTCTGCTAATTCTTTGATTCACCACCATATGGCTAATCCGTGACTACTAGCAATTCTAGCATTATTGTGAATAAAAATAAAATGACCAAAATTTTAGGTATTTACTTTTAATCTTGTTAGGTATATATATAGGTCCTTATAACATATTTTAAAATGACTGACCTGAATAAAAGGAATGAGGATGCAGGCTTCTTCGGTTTGTTGGGATCATCAATATTCTTCTTCTTCTAGCGATTCTCTTTCGTTTTCTGTAACAAGAGCAGACATAATTTAGCGGTCACAAAAGCCAAGCTTCATAAGAAGGTATCGACAATTCATTGTTATAAGGCCAAACCTTGATTATGTTATCGGTTTTCTCCTCCTTCTTGTCTTGCTTGTGAATTTTCATCTTCTCATCCTCTTCTTTTTTGGGATTGGTAGACTCTTCCTCGTTCCTCTACTTGTAAGCCTCCATTTCTTCCAAATACTTTTCCATGTTTTGCTTTGCAATTTGCAAGTTCCCAAAATATGAAATTGTTGTTGCAGAGAGAGAGAGAGAGAGAGAGAGAGATTGAGAGAGAAAGATAGAGTTAATTGAACCTTTTGATAAGGCTTCTTCTGTTTCTCTGTCATGTTATTCCATTCTTCAATTACCTCCCAGCCACTCTTGCTCTCTGCTCTTTGCTCATTTCTGAACATGAAAAACGCAGACATCGGTTGCTTCGGTTTCAACGGGTCCTTTTCTTTCCTGTAGAAATTCAATGAGACAAAGATTAGAGAGAGAACAAGAAGAAGGGGGGAGAGAGAAATATAGAGAAAATTACTAAATTTACTTATTCAACTGAGGAAACTGCTCTTCCTCCAACAGCCTCATGGCTTGAGTTGTGAATGCCAAAGACGCAAACATTGGTTGATGAGGACTCAAACTGTGAAGATCAAAATGATGAAGATAAAAAATCTTAACTCCATTTTTTTCCTCCTTCTGATCTTTCTTTCTGCTGTTGGTGCAGAGGAGGCGGCCTATGATGGAGTACCAAAAGGCGGCAAAAACCTTATTCTGTGACTCGGCCATTTTGAGACACAGAGAGAGAGAGAGAGAGAGACTGTGAATGGCTGCAAAAATTGTCGTGAGAGAGAGAGAGAGACTGTGTGGAATGGTTGAACTGAAAGTGATTAATATATATGGATAGACAGAGGGGACAGGGGATCCCTGAAGAAAGCAAGGGAGATTTTTTTTCAGACAGTGATGGCTGAGTGAGAGAGACACATTTGAACATGAATATACTCTCTCCCTCTCTCTCATCAGTAGTCTATAGTATGTTTCTAACATTCCTTATTTTCTTTGAACACGCTTTCCCTCTGTTCTCTGGAAGTTTCATTCCTTCCTACCTTCCTAATTTCCAAAAGGCAATATATCCTAATATGCTTATTCCATAATTTTCATAATTTGAATTATTTACCATATGAATAATTTGAATAATTTGAATTATTTATAATATGAATAATTTGAATAATATTTGAATAATTTCCATAATTTGAATAATTATCCTAATAATTTGAATAATTTCCATAATTTGAATAATTATCCTAATAATTTGAATCATTTTCATAATTTGTATTATTCACAATATGGAGGGAGGAATGATCCACGGAGTCTATCCTAATTTCCATAATTTGAATAATTTGAATTATTTACAATATGAATAATTTGAATAATATTTGAATAATTTAAATAGTTTCCATAATTTGAATAATTAAGCTAATAATTTGAATAATTTTCATAATGGGCACCCAAATCATGTGCTAGACAATTAGACAGCAATTAGAGTATCTCTAACACTTACTCAAAAAAAAATTTAATATTAAATTTGAATAAAAAATTAATGAAAGTTTCATATGATACTATGTGTTCCAATGCTAATTTTTAATTTTTATCAAACAACTGGTTGACAAGAGGTCGTCCGACTTATGTAAATTTTCATCAAACAATCAGTTGATCGGGAGGATAATCGGCCGGTCATCCGGTGTACGGTGAAATCTCTGCAAAAGTAACGACTATTTGTAAAAATTTGATGAACGATGAAGCCTCCCTCAATCTGATGAAATTTTTTATTTTCCTCTCATTTGATATGGGTTTGATGCCATGGTTGGAGCAACAAAAGTGTGCGTATTTTAACAAATTTAAATTTGATGAAAAATTTCAGTAAAAGTTTGAGACACTCTTATCGGAGTAGAAAAAAATAAGTATATGCATTTATACTTAGGGCTTGTTAAGGAAATGGTTTTTTTAGTAATTTTGTTAAATTATGAGGTGAAAAAAATAAAGTGTTTGAGAATAATTTTTTGAATTTAAAAAAAAAAGAAGTACAGAAAGAAAGAAATGAATCTTTAACTTTTTTATATGATTTTTTAAAACTTTTTTAATGATTTTTTGATTTTATTTTATTTTATCAGTTTCCCAAACAACCTCTTAAGCTTAATTTCATATCACTTGATGGGTAAACGAAACAAATATCACATGTTTCTTTTTTGTCTCTTTAAATTTTGTTGATTTATAAAATTATTCATGTCACAAAAATCATCATAAGAATCAAATAAGATCCAATAGGATAGAGAAGAGAAAAGAGGTAACAAGTAATGTAGATTCGTGTAAACTATCATGATGATTTACATTCATTTATATAATGCTACTTTTTCTTTTTATTTTTTAAAGAAGTGCTGAAATTTCAATCCTAACATATAGTTTGGTAGAAAAACCATGATCATAGGGTAATTATTTAGTAATTTCAAAACATTATGTAATATTATTTATATGATATTCTAAATTAATCATGTAGTAAAATATTGTATGACTGAAATATAGAGATTTATACCTTTATTAGATAATTAAAAGACAAATGATGACTGTGTGTTGTGATTTTTCTCATTTGCCGAGATTAATTATCATATAGACAATGTCATATGACGATAAAAAAAAATATAGACAATGTTATATGATAATCCGAAAATATTTAATAATTTTTATGATCATATTGTATACAAAAGAAAAAAAAATTGAAAATAAAAAATTGAGGGTGCTAGTTGACAATTGGACGGGATAATAAAATTAGCATAGGTAGGGAGCGTGGATTTTGGGTACGTTTGTAGTATCCCACCCCTATCTAGATTGTATCAAATCAGGGAGGGGCAAATTAGGACGGAATGAGGGTAAGTTAATTTTATAGTTGTAAAAATGGGGATACTAATACAAAATCAGAGATAATATAATATATTAGGAATAATGATTTATTATTAATAAGAGTTAAAGTATGTAAGATGAGAATTAAATTAATGTGTGAAAATGAATGTTAAGTCTCATTCTTTAATATTAGAAAAAAGATTGGGAACTCTAAATTAAGAGTTTTAATAGCTTTAATTGGTGTGTGGGTCCCATATGAGGTGATGTTTTGGCTTGGATTTTTTTTTTTTTAAAATATTTTCCACATCATTATTACTCTTTTAGAGCTTTCAAATTAGAGAGATGTATAATTTTTGTTAATATTATTATATTAAAAAAATTAAATTATATACATAAATTTGTTTAATAAATATTATCGGGTGTGAGGAAACAAAATTCGTTTCTGCCCCACTTACTCATTAGAGCAAGGCGGGATGGACAAAAATCACCATTTCTAGATATTGGGCATATTACAAGTACATCACTGAAATTGGATGGGCCTGCCCATGATGTGTAAGAGAGGAACATGTAGCCCATTTAATAACATTCATTGACACAACCATTCAAAATTTTAACATCATTCACACAACCATTCAAAATTTCATCTCTGATGACACTTTTTTAAGTAGGGATAGTAATAGGGGAGGTTATTCTATAGGTTTTGATATTGAAAATCAGATTTTTTATTCCATTTTGAGATAGTTGAAAAGGCACTATCTCATTGACAGTGTCCAACGGAAGGTTAGAGTGGTACCTGACCCTGTTAGTCCTAACATTTGTTATTTGCATAGAGCATCAAATTCTTAAGTTGTGTTTAAATTATAAATTTAGACCAAAAAAAAAAAAGAAAAGAAAAGAAAGGGAAATAGAGTGAAATATAAGCTCTCTTTTTGTGTGTGCCGTTTCTCTTTTTATTTTCAAATTTCTATCTAAATTTGTAATTCAAATACAACGTTAGAGTTCAAAATTCAAAACACAACAATATTTGATTAAAATAATCAACATTTTATCTAAAAGGTATATAAACATCACCCAAAAATTTTATATTTCACTATTTTTGACCAATTTGATACTGCGTTTTATTCACACATTTTCAAACTTCAAAAATGTTGTTTTGATAAGCAATATAGTTATGGAAAAAAGTATGTAAAAGAAAAAAATTCTTATATTTTTTTATTGTTTTGTTTTTTATTTTAGCAATAAAGTTTCATACAATCCTCTTAAACTTCAAAACTTAGATTTTGGTTTCCCACAAAATAAGGAGGGAACACTTGAAAGTGGAAAAAATTTATCATTCCTTTAAGATTTGCTCAAGATTCCATTCACTTGTTTAAAATGAAAAAGATCATTAAGTAAAATATAAGAATTTTCTTACAACTTTCAAGCTTTTCAAATGATAAAGCTAAAATTTTCAATAATGTTCTTATAAAATTTTAATGCTAACCCTTTACTTTTTCATCATTTTCTTTCTAATCAAATAGATAACCAACACCTTAATATATGAATATCTTGTGTTTTCACGTCTTTCAAATTATTTTATTAACTTGTCCTTATATTCTATATATATATATTTTAATTTTTATTAATTTATTATCAAATTTAACATTTAGACACAACCTCAATAGCTTATAATTTTTATGAGCATTTAATATTTGTATAATTTTTACATGAATAAATGAAGCAAATTTCAATCCTTCTTTCTTTCTATTGTTTTCTTGTATGGTCAATCCAAATTAGCTAACATATTGCATGCCAACTAGCTTTCTCGACATTTACAGGTGATTTGGCTACTTCTTCAAAAAGCTTGCTCCGTTCAGTTGCTAAGAATGCTGTAAAAGAAAATATCTTTTCAAAAAAATTGAATTACATAAAAGGAAAGGGGAAAAAAATTACAAATAGTTTACTTTTCTTTTAGTCATCCACTTTACAAGAGAGTTCATATACAAAAATAATTTGAACAGTAGGGAAAAGCTTAATTTACGTGTACCTAATTTTTCTCTTACAAATAACCCAATTCTGGACTCAGAGTTACTACTGAAATTAAAAGTGGGTTTTTACCCTTTTTCCCCTCTAACATAAATACTTTTTATCACCTCCATATTAGCTTTTCCCCCCTTCTGCTGACTCATGATGATCTCTAGGGGCTTTTTGCAACTAATCTTGACCGATGCAATTTTTTTTTTATGATATTTCTAGTAATATTTGTGTATATGTTTCCAATTTTGATCATATATTTATTGATGTGAGTTGCATATATGCAGGTGGAAAGTGCAAATGTTATAGTGTACTCAGTGCATCTGGGGTTGATAATGACAAATCTCATGAGACACTGGCCCCATTTGGTAGAACTGTGAAAAAGTAATTATAGATTATAACTTAACAAATTATAACTTATAACTGTGAACATAAACGATTAACTTGTTTGATGCAGCTGTGGAATTATAGATTTAAGCAACAGAGTAGTGTTTGGTTGATAAGCTGTAAAATAACTTTTTGCTATATAATTGTCATTTTTGCCTTATATGATATAAAAATGATTATTTTGTTATTTTTTCAGTTTTAATTTTAAAAAGTTATTTCATTAATAAAAGTTAATAAAATTAGTATTACAAAAATTATTATTTTCATTCATAGTATCAATTAGTATAAAATTATTTCATTTTTTCATTATAAATTAATTAGTGTCAATTAATGGCTTAATTAGCATTAATGTTTTTTTCTTCTTCTTCTTTTTCTTCATTTCTTTTTTCTTTTTCTCCTTATTTTCTTCTCTTCTTTCTTTTTCTCCTTAGTTGTAACGCCCTCAAAATAATA